ACTGTAACTTATTTTTTTAAAGAATAAAGAGATGATAAAGTTTTAGGTCTTTCAATGGTGTTGCTCTTAAAGCTATTAGCTCTGTTGAACACTGTGCATGAGAATGGTCGGGCTATTCTTGGCTCTGAAGATCGCATGCAGGGTGAGAAAGCTGCTCCTGCCACCAGGCTTTGATGACAGCGGTCACATTCCAGTGTGCTGTAATCACTGAGCGTGTGAGAAAATGGGCACAGGAATAAACGTAAAGGACAGGCAGGATGAGAAAGTGCAAAACATGCAGCAGCAGTAAAGGACGACGACATACAAAAAAAAAAAATAAAACTAAGACAGAAAGCAGGAAGGATACAACGGGTGCAGAGAGGAACTAAGGAAACACAAACAATGCATGTGGCTGAGCATGTGACAGCCATTCACTGCTGCAGTGCAGTCATTTGTAGGTAGATTAGTAAAGAATAAAACACTCAGTGTTGTGCTGTTCTACGAAAATAATCACAGATGAGCTGGTGCGATGAAGCACAGTTACCACCTGAAGATGTTTATTTTCCTAGGACAGCACGTCACCATGTGTTTTATGACAAGTCATACTTTTTATCCCTCTATAGCTTAATTTAATATTTGGAAACATCTGTGAAACAAATAATTTCCTTTTATCACTGATGGTACATTGTATGTCATGTTATAACAGTCGTTCCCTCACTATCCTCTCTTTTTTCTCTCTCAAAGTTAATATGACAAATTTAGCCTGTGATGATACCGAGAAACCAGACAACATAAATAGGTCTGTGGTGAAGACTTTCAGGTTTAAAACAAACAAACAAACAAACAAACAAAAACAGCTTTACCTCTGACTGATACAAAGCACTGATACTAGAGACTCCATCCATAAAGGTTAAATAAACGTTTCCTTACAGGACACTTCACCATATCAAGGATTAAACACGTTTTTAATCTCTTTATGTGAAGTGTTTAGCATAATACATGTCCCTGTGATTGAGCTGTTGCTATAGAAACGATAAGGTATTAGAAGGAGTGTATTAATATAAACCTGAGGCGAGGTGCAGCTGCACTAGTATCAGAGCTGCTGTTACAGAAAATTAACACTTTCTGACCAATCAGTGTCGAGGATATGAATGTGTACCTCCGGGAGTGGTGCTAAACAGAGTTCCTCCAGGTGTGCTGGAGTAATCATGGGGTAGATGGGCCGCGTCGCTGATGGTCACCCGTCTGGTGGCAGGGATGGCGCGGCTGCTGGTCTTCTGTCTGCTTAAGGACATTTCTGAACCGTGTTTACATCCAAAACCTTCACCGCTCTGCTTTCAACCCTAAACCACAAACACAACTTCAGCACCGCTATCCACAACACTGGCTGTCAAACGCTTTGCTAGCTCGCCAGGAATCTGTGAGCTTCTTAGCAACTCAAATCTGTTTACCTTCTCCGTCTTCTTTCTTTAAAAAACCCCAAATATGACTATATACAAAATACAACCAGCCGAGATTTTATATCATCTCATTCACGCGCTCACACTTTCAAGCTAGCTAAATATGCTAAGCTTCTGAACAACCACGTTCTCACTCACACTCTCACACACACACACACTCCACACACACGCCACACAACACTAAGGAAAGGCTATTTAAAACAGAGCCCGTGACGTTATCGTGGCGCCCTAATTATGCGTCACGAGAGTGCCAGGGCAGGACGGGAAATGTAGGTTTATGGCTAAATATGCTAAGCGTCTGAACAACCACGCTCCCTCTCTCTCTCTCTCTCTCTCTCTCTCTCTCTCACACACACACACACACACACACACACTCCACACAACACTAGGAAAGGGCAATTTAAAACAGAGCCCGTGACGTTCTCGTGGCGCCCTAATTATGCGTCACGGGAGTGCCAGGGCATTTTTTTTTTTTTTACATTTAATTATATTACTAAAAATTAAGCATGAAAAATGATAAAGTTTACTTTGCATATTTTTGTCTTCAATGTTTGTCATTAATGTCAAACCCAGATAGCAAAGGTACGTTGATTCAACATTGAATCGTCATCAATCCAACAACACAGAAGCGTTGATTCACAGTCAGAAAGCATATAAGCTGTAATCAAAAGTGTACTTTTATTCAACCCGTTTTTAACTATTATCTAAACATTAAAACTAAAGTCTAATAAATCCTCAGAATATCAACCATATTTTATGCACTCATACACTATATGGCCAGAAGAATGTGCACACCCATATGTGGGCCTTCACCAAACTGTTGCTGCAAAGTTGGAAGCACACAATTGTCTAGAATGTCTTTGTGTGCTGTAGCTTTAACTGGAACTTCATTAAAAACTAAGAGGCCCAAACATGTTCCGGCAAGACAATCCCCCTGTGCACAAAGCAGGGTCCATAAAGACATGGTTTGCCAAAGCTGGTGTGGAAGAAGTCAAGTGGCCTGTACAGAAACCTGACCTCAACACCACTGAGCACCTTTGGGATGAACTGGAGCGCTGACTGTGCACTTTTCACCCGACATCAGTGCCTGACCTCACTAATGCTTTTGTGGCAAAATGGGCAAATCACCACAACCACACAACAAAATCTAGTGAAAAGCCTTCCCAGAAGAGTGGAAGTTATTATAACAGCAAAGGGGGACTAAATCTGGAATGAGATGTTCAACAACCACATATGGGTGTGATTGGTCAGCTGTCTATAAACTATAAACCGGTAAAATGAGTGACGAGTTGTTCATTAATAAATTAAACATTGTAATCATTGTAATCAATAATACACTCCAGACCATGAAGACTGTTATTATGAAAATAATACACTCCACTTCCTGTTGTGTTGCATCACACCACCCCAGCATGCATTATTTTCATACAACTGCAGTCTGTCATGTGTTTGTATCTATTTTCATAATTGGATTTAAACCAAAAAAGTTTTTTTTTTTACCACTATATGCTGTAAACACTTACAAACCCTTAAAAAACAGGTCTGATGGAAAAAGAAGTTTTTTATTCACAAATTATAAAAACAAACAAAAAAAACATAGCAATTTGCAGAACATTGCAGAAGTTTACTCAACTCCTGAACCAGTGGACCTTTCTCTCAAGCTTTCTATCTTCTATCTAACATAAGTAAGTAAGCAAGCTAGCTATGTTTCAAAGCAGTGATGTTCCCAAATAATTTTATTATAATGACCATCTTATATTCCAAGATTGTCTTTTAATAACAAAGGAGAACAATCGTGACACATGCAATGAACATACGATAAGATTTAAAATTGTTTAAAAAAATGAATATTTTTACTGCCCTGTGCACAGTCTGTTGGCTATTTTTGTAAAGACCTTTTGAAAGCATATTTCTTTTGTTTTAGGCTACTGGAGCAAACCATTGATGAAAAAAACAAACAGGGTATCTCCTATTCTTTCTTATGTTTCGTGTTCTTATGTTAATGAACCTGGTATTTGTCCCAGGAGCAGGCCAGGTTACATGCACAATGGATGCACAATTGCAGATACTGCAAATTAGAAATGCACACCACTGTTAACTTGTTTCCTACAAAAAGACTGAGAAAAAGAAGAAAAAGCATCTACGAAAACAGATACGAATATTTTGAGCACTAAACGGAAACAGATGCAGATACAGATAATGGCATTGCGCTTCACCCCTGAAACATACCTTGGTCTCAGAGATCACAGAGTGCCTGGAAAAAAAATAATATTAGTATATAATAATATACTAATGATATTAGGCATAAACAGTAGGCCATATCATTGGGAACAGATTATTCTTGTTACCTTCTCGCAGCTCCTCCAGCAGTGATCAATTTAGGAACCTAAAAGTATTAATAAGCATTTCTTATACATAATGCTTTGTTTGAGCAGTCACATTTGAAAATACAATAATATATAATTTGGGTGGTGAACCGACAACACATAAACCAATATGCAAGAGAAACAACAGCTGTTTCGCCTCTTATTCACCCTCTTGAATGGATCAAATGCCTGTTGTGGCATTTGGGAACTTGTGCTTCGTTAGGGCTTGGCAGTGCTCTTTACAGCGGCTCTGCCATGACAGACTCACAAATTGTCAAACGTACACTGAAAGATTTTATGTCACATTACAGGGCAAGACTGTCAATCATTCCAGATTCACTCATCTGCTGTTTTTTTTTTTAAATGAAAAAAAGTAGGCTGCTCTTTTGGCAAATTATTGAGTGATAATGTTCTAATATACTCTGATGTTAAAATGGGGAGCTCCTACACAAAATGTGTAAAGGATCGCCAGTCCGACACAGTCATTTAAATATTTATTTTTTGGTAAATATCTCAAACCCTTATCTGTGTGTCCCCCATCCAACTGCCTCACGGTGTGAATACCTCTGGTCTATGTTGTTTTTTAAGGCAGTCAGAGCAGTGAACTTGTCCACTTTGAACAAATGTTGAATTAACCACCATTTTACGTTGATTCAGTGCCATATTTTCAATGTGTATGCAACATTAATATTTCAACCATGATTCCACATTGATTCAGTTGTGACATTTTGTCGTCAACCAGAAACCTACGAGGATGACCATGAATGTATGTCGAATCATCATTCCTTTAATATCTGGGAAGCTTTTATCCTTTATAAGTAAGTAGAAAGAAAGTAAGTAAGTAAGTAAAAAATATGTAATAACACAATATATTTAACTTTCCTGCACAAAGTACATGCTAACTTAATTATGGATATCCAAAAGAACTAGAATTATCTAAACTGAAAATGAAACATATCAAAAGTAATTAGAAGACTTAAAACTATATATTAATGTGCTCCCTTAGGGGAGCAGCCTACAGAACAACAACACATTAATATATTGTTATATTAATATATATATATATATATAACACATTGGTCTGCATGTTTGATTTGGCACAAGATTTATGCCGGATGCCCATCCTGAAGCAACCCTCCTGTTTTATCAGGGCTTGGGACCGGCACTGAGAGTACACTCCCAGTAGCTGGGTTGGTTCCCTGCCTGGGAATCAAACCCGGGCCATGGCGGTGAGAGCACGGGAGCCTTAGCCACTAGATCACCAGGGACCAAAACTATATGTTAATACAAAATAAAAATAAAAATTAAAATATATATTACATAAATAAATAAATGCTCCCTCCTTGCCCCCAGTGTTACCAGGATTGGCTCCAGTGACCCTGACCAGGATACAACAGTTCCTGACAGTGAATGAATGAATATCAATCAATATCAATCAATATAATCTAAGAATAGCACACCAAAAAAGGTAATTAAATAGAAACTCAAATGAAAGCTGAAAATGATTTAAAAATAAACATTAATTTTAAAAAGCCAAAGTGTAATAACACTGACACACATTTACTAATAACACCAGACCACATCCAATATGTCACATGTTTCTTTATTAATTTCTGTAAATGGTCTGAGCTGGTGTGCAGGATAAATGAACTATACATATCCTTATGTCAGAATGAATCTGATTAAAAGGCTTGTATACATATTCAGATTTTATTTTTTTTTCTCTCCATAACAATAAAAAAAGAAAAGAAAACAAGTTCAAAGCTACAAAGCCTCTACATTCCCCATGTTCATGTATGGGCATGTTCTTGTTCTAGCTAATATGCTTAAAATACATCCATAACAACTCTAATAAGGGTGCATAGCATTCTAATCAATGTATATAATTAGATTTCTTGTCATATATTTGTACATATATTCTTTATTTTAAAAACATATTTTCTGTGCATGTGCGCAGTTGCATTCCTTAGTACAGAGTAATATGATATTGCGTTAATATTGTCATTTATCCACTCTAAAGGAGTACAGGTGAACTCTAGGGTTTCAAGAGTAACATTTTACATAAACTCATCATAATATACTGTAATGGTAACGTCCTTGCGTATTTATTTAGTGGGTGCCCTTTTTTTAAAAGGACACAGTGTCCTCGGTGTCCCCCCACCTTCCTCTCAGACCCGCTCAGTCTTCTTTCGGCTAATAACAAGTCTGAACGTTATGGATCTTGTTTTATCATAACACGGTTGCTGTCCATCACCTCACACCCCAACGTCCCTGAACATCTGTAGACGGTTATACTATCAGAATGATCACTGAACCCTGTCAGAAAATGATGCTCAGGTACAATTTTAATTCCCTGAAAATAAACAATGTAAATATTTACTCACTGGAACAGTTTGACAAAACACCAAATTTGCACGCTGGTTTCCCTTTAATGCAAATGCAGTCTATCAGATAAGACATGTTTGGTGTCCAACAAGTCCAAGACTAATGTAGCTCTCAAGTATTGGAAGTCTATCACAGCCAAAATCTTTTTGGTTTTTTTTTTTAATATTCACCTAAATCTTTATATAATTGCTTCAAACAGATTTTTAAGATCTATCATCTAAATATACAAAATTAATTATGCAAAAAAATCTTTAAACTTTGCTAATTTGGCAGGGCCTAGAAACCGCAAAGATAAAGTGCGCATAGATAAAAAAAAGTGATTCTGTTTGTCCAAGATGGCCAACTAGATCTTCGACAAGATCTCTTGACTAAGAAAAAGAAAGAAAATGCCCCCTCAACTCATTATTCCTACTTGTATACTTGGGGATAGTCTCTTCAACCCCAAGACCAACAAGTGATGGCTGCAAACAGCATCAACAGTAAACAAAGTAGAACTTCTTACCTTTAAATGAGTTACGCTGTATATACAAGCATTTGCTTTAGATAAACCAACAGAAAGATATATTCGCTTGTTAAAACTATAACACTGACTCTACAGTTCGCTGTCTTGAAGAGGTAAATATACATGTTAGCTACATTAACCTCAAAGCTTGTTGGACACTATAAATGTCCTGACTACATTTGGTGAGGGGGGGAAATTGAGTGAATTTGATTTGTCACTGAACTGCTACTTTAAAGTTCACTTATGTACATTACATGAGTTTTAGAGATTATTTAGAGAACTGACTGTGGAAAGTGGAAGAAAAATCATTGGTTAAAACACAAAACCTGAGTGAAGTTTAAAGAGTCAGGAGAATCGGAGTGAGCGGAGGTGAGGGGTATAGAGAATACGGGTTTCACTCATCCACAGAGAAATCTTTAACAATAAATATACAATCACTGCTTTTTCATTACTAACATATTCACTGATTATTTACTTCGCATCAATACAATCATTCATTCATTCTTGTAATCATTCATGCCAAAGAGTCATAAATATATATTTTAAAACCTCTTTTTCTTTTTAGAACATAAATAACATATAAGATTGTGTGCTACATTTGAAGTGAGTCTGTCAGACGTCAGTCAACAAACAAACTTGAGTTGGTTTGAATGTCACACTCTTGCACACAGTGCAACTTTAATACTCATAATGTCTATTTATACTCATATTTAATGTATATACTCATATTATATCAACAGAGTCGAATAGAAATGCTACTAGGGAAAACACTGAACACACACACACACACACACACACACACACACACACACACAAATGCCAAACTGTCACCATAATATTGATATTATTTGATATTATTGCTTTGGTAGTGGAAGCGTAAATAGTTTCAGTCTGATTGGGAATTTGTGCATGAACATAAAAATAAAGATGATTAAAGATGCGCATAGATATCAGTGTTGGATATTTACTGTAAATTAAAAAGTATTCATATGTGTATGTGTGTGTGTGTTATATATAAAACCAACAGAGGACAGACAGTTGTCACAGTTCAGGGGTCAATTAATTTCAAGGTGGACGATCACAGTGCTGTCTGTATAGATTTTATCTGTCTGTGCTTTACTGTACACCTATAAGGATAAGGTTAAATGTTTAATATTTTTAATAGATTTAAATGCCATCCTGTGTCAGATGTATCGCACCAGCAGTAACTCAGAGTGTAATCAGTAAGGAGGCAAATTGGATCAAACGCCCTGAAAATGTAGAATGAACATAAACAGGACAGCGAAATGAAAGCAGCATGATGTGCTACATCATTCAGCAGGAGTCCAGAGTGGGCGGGGCTTTAAAAGAGGTGGAGCTACAGACATAGAGAACATAGAGTAAAAGATAGAGAAGATAAAGAGTGGGTGCTTCCCAGTGTCCTAATTGATGCCTCCTTGATCAGTCAGTTCTACTGTCCATCTTTAAGGATGTATCAATTCTTTAAACATTTCAGATAAGCAAAGAGGCTTCCAGAACAAGTATAAAAAAAAAACATGTCCAATAAATGATACAGAAACAAGAAGTAACAGAAGTAAGAAGGTGATATTTAAGCATGCATATGTGCAATGTTTTAGTTACTGGTTGGTGTGTGTATGGAAGTCCATTTTAGTCAGTGACGGGTAACTCTATGTTCACACTAAAATGTGACAAAGGGACAGGCGACCATTCATTTTCTACATATGTGTGCAATATGAAGCCACAATTTCAGCGACAGCAACGAGTGACAAACAATGTCTGAATTAAGATTTTCTCAATTCTATGCAAATTAGGTATGACTCTAGCTCGAATGATTCCTCGGCCCAATCCTATGACACCTGTGATCGATGCTTCTTCAGTTACACACTCACAACCTCAGTTCCTACCTGCAATTAGTCCTAAAAATTTTATTCATCTTACCTTGCCATATATGACCTCTGATTAAGGACAAAACAAGTAAGTCAAACTACCAATTTTCACACTTATTAGTGCGTTATTTAATTTCTGCTTAACTAGGTGGCTTTAGAAGGTTTACATATATATAGTTACCACTGTTTCACACAGGAACTAAAAAAAAGGCCAGACAGTGCACCCCTACAAGAGACAACAATAGCGGTCGCTACACGCCCACGAGCCGCTTGTCACTTGCTAGTGTGAACGTAGTGTTATATGGTTGTGCATAAATTCAGAAATACATCACATCACTTTACTGAGGCTTCAGTGAGCAAGAGCATCTTATTAGGCAAATCCTTTTGCTACAGATTTCCCCTTTCCGTGTTTCTTTTTCTTGCAGCCTTTCCTTGTGTCCTCAGAGGAAGAAGCCAAAATATTAGGAAGGGAAGCAAGGAAAGGAAACAAGGAAGCACACAATTTAATAAATGGGAAGCACGAGTGTGTGTGTGTGTGTGTGTGTGTGTGAGAGAGAGAGAGAGAGAGAGAGAAAGAGAGAGAAAGAGAGAGAGAGTAATTTTCAGAGACAATTTTTCAGTCAAAGGTCCTACATTATGTTTGCAAACAAAGTGCTTCTGCAGCTATATGAGGTGAAACCTTTTGATATTTGAAATTAGATGTTTAGATGTAGAAAATTCATTCCATGGGGTTTTAATATGGATGGCCGATATGCAAAGGGTGATGTGATGTGGCCCGATTATTTTTCTATAACAGCACATCCCGAAGTGTTTTATTCCTCTCATAACACAACAATATGCCAACAAAAACAAACTGTTTTAAATTACAGAATGGCATGTCATATCCATGTTTTTATCCATTTATAGTGACATTTAACGTCCATGAAACGTGTTAGTTCCTGTTCTCACTTAGGTTATAGCAGCTATTAACAGTTGTTCCCTCACCAGTCACAATTTCTTGGCTCTTTTGAAGTTAATAAGACAAAAAATGCAGCTTGTCATATTACCGACAAACCACAGAGCATAAACTCCACAGTCATGAAGACCTCCCTGTGTCGGAAAACTTAAAGTTACAGCTTTACGTCTAGACCCTCCTTCCATAAATGTTAATGTCTCCTTACACAAAATATCACCATATCAAAGATTACGCATTTTGAATCGAGTTATGTAGTGTGTCCACCTGCACATCCCTGTGAATGAGCTGTTACCATAGAAACAATAATATATTAGAATGAGCGCATTAATACTGTATAAACCTGTGATATGCAGCTGCACTATCATCAGAGCTGCTGTTATAAACAATTAATCAACACCTTCTAACCAATCAGAATGGACAATTCAACAGCACTGTGGTATTAAACTATATAATATTAATTATATCAATATACACACCTCCTCTCACAGGTCTTTAATCATTGCCTAATTTTGAATAGCAATTACTTTCACCTCAGCTTTA